ACATGTTACTATTAATTCGTTTATGGAAAAAATATGGGAATGTATGATCTTTATAAAATCATTCTAAGCTTTAAATTTCCTATTAAGTCCCACTTAAAGTACACCAGTGGCGTATCTAAGCATTTTTATTATTAGCAAACCGTTTAATAATTCCATCCGCTTTTATTTTCGTTGTAAATTGAAATATTGGAACGAAAACTTTTTTGTTTAAAAGCTTGGAACAGATACTCTGAATCATATACTCGATTTAATTGGTCTGTGATGTGTGTTGAAAATTTTCTGTCAGCTGTCAATATGACCGTTATATTGGATAATATATTTTACTGTTAATTCGTTTATGGAAAAAAATATGGGCATGTATAACAATTTTGTGAGCATTAAAATTCTCAATAAGACCTATTTACATTGAACCAGTGGCGTATCCAAGTTTTTTGTTTTTGCAAACCGTTAAATAATTTCACCCGCTCTTATATTCCTTATTAATTGAGAAATCGGAATGACAACTTTTCTGTTTGAAAGCTTGGAATAAATAAAGTCAAATACTGCTTCGATCTGTTACATCATGGCTTACGTCCGGTTTTTCGAAAATAACAGTAAATCGCAATTTATTTTTTATTTTTAAATAGAAACCCACTTTTTTATTGAAAATTTAAATTTCTTGAACTCATCAATGTTTATTTTTGCATGGTGGATATTGTTTTATTATATTGGTTTCTTAACTCTTTCTGATGAAATTAAGCTACTTTAAAATTTAAAATAAAAATAAACATTTTTTAAATTTAAAGATCTGTTAGTTGTGTGTCGTATTAATTTATTTTTCTGCTACTGTGTGTTAAAGTATGCACAATATGCGCACTACGGAGTGCATAAGGTTTTACTTTTTTCACTAGTGCGCAAAGTAAAACTTTTTACGCACCAGTGCGTCAACAAGACACAATTTTTAGTATTTTGACATGACAAATGACATTTTATTTCAAACTTTCTTTACGCGTTAGTGCGTAAAGTAACCTTTGTATTTTTAATCTTAGTGGGCAATATGTACGGTAGTAGAAATATCGTATGCAATTCGTATGTAAGGGCCTTTTTTGAAGGCCACTTTCTGCACCTACTATAAGCATAAATAACTATTTTTTGTTATTTTATTTATCAGAAGGTAGTTGACTGATGTAGTGGTTAAAAGCACTGAAATCATATGAATTCAGTTCGATGGCAGATATGCTCAAGAAATATAAATTTTTAATAAAAAAGTGAGTTTCCATTTATAAATAAAAAATAAATTGAGATTTACTGTTATTTTCAAAAAACCGGAAATAAGCCATGAAATCACAGACTAGTTAAATCAATTAGTTAACAATATTTATTTCAGGCTTTCAAACAAAAAACTTTTCATTCTGATATCTCAATTAATAAGGAAGATAAGAGCGGGTGGAATTATTAAACGGTTTGCTTATAAAAAAAATCTTAGATACGCCACTGGTATACTGTAAGTCGGCTTTATACATTTCCACATTTTTTCCATAAACAAAGTTACAATAACATATTAAAAAAAAAAATTAACTAATATGACGGTCATTTTGACAGCTGAAAAATTTCAACACACACTTCTTTTCGGAAAACGTGCCAGAAATTTAAATTTTCAATAAAAAAGGGGTTTTCATTTTAAAATTAAAAATAAATTGCGATTTTCAGTTATATCCGGGAAAATCGGAAGTAAGCCATGACGTCATAGAACAATTGGATTCAGTAAATAAAAGTATCTGTTATAAGATTTTAAACAAAAATTTTCATTCCGGTATCTCAATTAACAACGAAGATAAAATTGAATGGAATTATTAAAAGGTTTGCTAATAATAAAAATGCTTAGATACGCCACTGGCATACGGTAAATGGGTTTCAATAATAAAAATAAAGCTTACAAAGATTTTATAAAGATCATACATTTCTATATTTTTTTCCATAAACGAATTAATAGTAACATGCTTAGAAACAATATTATCCAATATGACGGCCATTTTGACAGCTGCCAGAAAATTTTTATTACACGATTATTATACAAAAATGTCCCAGAAATTCAAATTTAGAATAAAAAAAGTGGGTTTTAATTTAAAAATAAAAAATAAATTGCGATTTTCTGTTATTTCCGGAAAAACCGGAAGTAAGTCATGAAGTCACAGAATAATTAAATTAATTATAAGAAAGTATTTAATTCAGTCTTTCTAACAAAAAAAAAAAATATTTCGATATCTCAATAAATAACGAAGATAAGGGGGGATGGAACTTTTAAGTGGCACACCCTGTATACCTACTACTGAACCTTTATAAATTTTGAAGCCGTCTGTATAACATGTGAATTTTGCGTTTCCCTGTCTGGAATACTTACTTTATATTGCTTTTGTAAGCTATATTTTGGTAGAATTTATTCTGTAGGCACTCCCTTCATTCTCCAACTCTTTATATAGCTCGCTGTAGTCACGTCTATGCAGATTTCGTAAAATCTTTAGTTAAACATTAATAACTGTAATCGACAGCTTTTATGCTACAAATCTAAAAAGTTTGTTTACTTGGTGACTTGTTTTACGATATTACTTAGAGTAGCTCGTAAAATCGTTAAAAAGGATTTTCTATACATTATTTATAACAAAAAAATATATGAATATATCCAATTTATTTTATATAGTAGCACAAGGATTATTGAATTAAGTAACTAATACGGAATTTCCAATTGCTACAAATATATTGTATGTTATATTGCACTCTAACGGAAATTCCTGATTAATTGGTTTTTTTAACGAACTTTGTGTTATTCAGCTTTCGATTAAAAACTTCACTGGTGTACCAGTATACTAATAAATCATGCACCTAAAAATTTATATAAAGAAGTACTTATTAAAAAGTTCTGTTTCATTAATTTCGAGTTTGACTTTTTTAAAACACAATTTTTTAAAGGAATTAGTACCATCCTGAAATAATTGAATAGGTAATAATTATTAAACAAGTTTTAATAGTCATTTTCGACAATTTTTTAAGTTGGACCGGCTATTTAGTATTTCTAATTTTTAAAGTCATATTTGAAATTAACAACTTTGTAAACCCCTTAGCTCCGCCATGTTGTATTTGATAATTTTTTGTCATTGTCAAAATCAGTGACCACAAAAACCTCTGATGGTTCCTGCAGGTTTTACTTTTATGTAAAACAAGTACCCAAAAAACCCCAATATACAATATTTATTCCATGAAAACGAATATTTGATATTTTGTACAAAAATAGGCTAAACGTCACCTAGTGTAAAAAAAAGCAAACGAAAATATAAATTCAATTTTAATATATTCTTATTATTTTCGTACGGGTGGTTAATATCTATTTTTTGGTACAACACTGCGCTCTGGCTAGTCGAATCTATTGTTGCTTTATGCTGATTGAAATCAAGAGGTTTCCGCGAATGTCTGTAGTTATAAAGAAAGGTCAACAGATCCGTAAAACAAACATTGTACCAGCTTAAAACCACACTATTTTTAGCTCCATTTTGTACACCGCACGTAGACTACGACACGACAATTAAATTTTCTTGATTATAGGCCTAATTCCTGACGGCGTACGTCATCGTCTCGCATGTGGTGACATATACGAGTAGAAAAATTGGATTCTTAAAAGCCTTTGCCATATGCAAGTGATCCCGCATACGTCGCTTGGCGAATGATTTGCAACCAATGGTCTTGACCATTCAACAACCTTATCTCGCATGCGGTGACTATACTCAGGGTTAGTATTAGAATGTCCCGAAGCTTTGGCCGAAGTATCCATCAACAATGTGGTCATCTTAAGATGGATCAAAGGTCACGCTACATTGAAAGGTAATCATCTTGTAGATTCACTAGCCAAGAAAACAGCCCACCAAATACTTTTTGGACATGGCCCTTCTATTGGCCTGACAAAATCGGTAATGACAGAACTAATCAAAAAAAAAACATTCCCTTGTGAAATTTAAGGGAAATGGGATTAAACAAGAAACTGCAGAGTTGCCAGGGAGTGCTTAAGTTATCCTGACAATACTGCAGCAAACAAATACTTCACTATGACTAGACAGAATCTGCGCCTAGTCACAGACTTCTGACTGATCATTGCCAAGAAGATGAGACCATATATCTTTTACGATTGCTCGACGCTCTCATTTATTAAAAGATTTGTGCTCGGCAAGTATCGGCTAACACCAGCCGATATTAGAGAAGCACCTCTTGGCGACGTTGTCAACTACATTAAATCTGTAGGCTGGCTCACGATCTAGGAGGTGCCTATCATCTTAGGAGGATGCACAATGATCCCAATGAGGCTTAAGTGCCGTGGAAGTAGCCCACCCTCTACACGTTACAGATACAGATTCTAACGGCATATTTTTTAATTTGTTATTATTTCGAAAATGACAACAAATTCGAAAAAATACCGTCAAATATTTTTTAATCGAAAGCTAGGAGGTGCCCATCATCTTAAGAAGTGCCGTGGAGGTAACTCACTCTCCAAAAGTTACAGATACAGAAGGGCCTAAAAAATCCGACAACGTAGCGAAATTTCGCTACCCCTGGCAATACTGAACAAAGTCCTACTTATAAACACCTTTCACAAATTTCCTCCAGAGAGCGTAACAGCTTGAATTGCGAATCTTAGAAAAATCGAAAATATTAGATTAATCTAAATTAAGTGATTAATTAAAAAAAAAACAATTTTGTATTTCAATTTACTTGAAATTAAACTCCCATTTTAATTTATCACGAGCCGCTACTGAATAAACTAAATTAACAAATATGTGTTCTAAAATTATGTGTTCGTTCCCTTTCTTATTATAAATTCATATTGGTATTATCCCACCAATACCTCGTATATTTTAAATATTTTGATACTTGTAAATGATATTTGATGATAAATAGAATACTAATTTTGAACAAATTTATACAGGTAAATCCGCCATCAAATTCAGTTAAATAAGAATCATTTCAAAACGTGTATAAAAAATTTCAACGATACATCATATATGTACACATACTTCTCGTTTTATTTTCATTAAAAGTAAAAAAATAACAAAATTATAACAATTATGGGTTCCAAAATGGTTAGTGTGATTTTACTAAGTTTATTCGTTTCTGGACTGTGTTCTCCTATTCATGATATACCTGTAGAAGATGGTAAGTAGTTCTGACTATATTTCTAAAAACATTGTTATGATCACGCTGACCAATCTTAACTAATTTAAAATATAAAGTGTTTATGTTGCTTTAAAAAGCAGTTGATATGAGTAATGCCTTTGTTACGAACAATCACTATTCATTTATTAAGAAAATGTATATCGTTATGATATCGATATGAGCTTTCCTTAATATGATATCATTAGATTTGTATTAAGACGAAATAATTTCAATTTTGCAATATGTTGCAAAAATATTTCGACCGTTTTGTAACATAAAATTACAAAAAATGTATACGATATTTTGCCACTTTTTTGCGGACTTGCAAATTTAAATAAACTTTCTACAATATAAAATATAAAATGTTAATTAAGTTTGATTCTGAAAAATTTGCAGAATATTGAATGTTGCCAGTTTCGTCTGTTTGCCGATGTCGTATGCTGTTGCAAAATATATTATACCATGCCTAACTCACGAATACCGTCATTTGAAATCAATATGTGTACATGTTATAATTTTGCTGAACCATTTTTAGATAAATTACAAAAAAAATCGGTAATTATAAAAAATGTATCCTGCCGTCATCGGAGAGAAATTTTTACATGCTTGTAAGGTGATAGTATACTATCATTTTGCGGGTATGTTAATATTTTTGCTGTAAATTAGATCAAATAATTTACAGCAGATAATTATTTTGTCTCAGTTTTTTTTTTGTTAGTGTATTGTTACTAGTCATTACTTATCTCCCCATGTCTTAATTGTTTCTGTAGGAAAGCATCACAAGTTGGCGTGACGATTTATTACACTGTTTTGCACTAGCACTAAAATTAACGTTCACTGTACTAGCTCAAATGGCTTCTTCCTTTTGAGCCTTCTGTTATGTGTATAGTTGTCCAGTAATTGCAGCGCTTCTTCGTTGACGTGGGGGTATAGTCGACCCTCATGTTTCGCAGCAAACCTCTTTATTTCTTCTTCGATTGTTGACATCTCCAGGTCTCTATAAAGATAATCGTTTCGATAGAACCAAGGTTTATCAAAAATGCATCTTAGGACTTTATATTGGAAAACTTGTATCATGTTGATATTACTTTTGCTGGCACATCCCCATAGCTGTATGCCATAAATCCAGATTGATTTTGGGATTTATTTATAAATCAGCAGTTTGTTGTACACTGACAATTTGGATTTTCTTCCTAGGAGCCAATACATTTTTTGAATTTAAGTTTAAGTTCTTTATGCTTTTTTATGTGCTCTTTCCATTTAAGTCTTACATCTAGGTTCATACCTAGGTATTTGGCCGAATCGTGATGCGAAATAATCTCATTGTTTATTCCTCTTTGTTTTTGTTTATTTGGTCGAAATGTAAAATCAACATGCACTGATTCAGTTTGATTTATTTTTATTTGTTCATCGAATGATTCTGTTGCAGGTTTCCTGAAGTATTTCTGAGGTTTCTGTATTAGTTCCACAAAATGACAATATTGCAGTGTCATCCGCAAATGTTGCTATTTTAACACATTGTTGTTGATATATATCGCTGGTGTATAATAAGTAAAGAACTGGTCGTAGCACACTGCCTTGTGGAAAACCAGCTTTAATTTTTTTTATTTCGGAGTATGCCTCGTATTGCATTACTCTAAACATCTTCCCTTTAGATATGATTGTATTGTCTAGGGAGCATTTTTTTAAGTTTCTGTATCAGGCCAGCGCCAGCATGCCAAATCTTGTCAAATGTTTGGGCTACGTCAAGAAATAAAGCTGAGCATATGTATATTTTTCTTCGTAAGCTTTTTCGATAATATCGGCTATCCTGAGCACTTAATCTAGTGTTTGTGTCTAAAACCAAATTGGTGCGAAGGGGTCAGATTTTTATTTTCAATTATTGGTTCCAGTCGTTTAAGTAGTAGTTTTTCAAATATTATCGGTAACAGTGATAAAGGTCTACATGATGACACTTTATTTAGAGGTTTTCCTGGCTAGGAATTAGGATAATTTTACCCATTTTCCACGCATCAGGTATATATTTCCGTGGTAGTTTCTTTAATTTTTCACCAGTAATAAGGTCATATTCTGGAGCTTTCTGTGAGTTGATGTTTACCCGAATTTCTTTCGTAACTTCATTGGGAGTAACTTGCCTAATTTCAAATTGTTTCATAATATGAATCGTCTCATAGGAACTGTCTTTATTTTGGAACGTCTTTTGCAGGTAGTCAGCGAAAATATCAGCTTTCTGTTGATTGTCTCTTGCCCATTTGTTATCTGCTATTCTGATAATAAGACAGTTTCTTTATCATATGTTAGCCCTACTAGGTATCTGTTAAAGGATTCTTCTTTGTGATTCAGGATTTCTCTTCTTAGTATTTGGGTAGCCCTATTTACTATATTTTTATCTTCTTGTGATCTTATCATCTGCCATATCTTTCTTGGTTTTCTGTTTTCTGCTACTAATTCTCTTATCTCGACAGGATAGTTTTTGCAGCTGTGTTTTGGTGTGTTCCTTCATGCAGCTAGCTAGATTTCAACTATAAACCTTTCCAGTTTTTTATCTAGTTGATTTTTCGTTTTTAGTGTTATGGTCAGTTGAATAGTATTTGCTAAAGTCTCTTGAAAACCTTCCCAATTAGTTTTCCGATTTGATAAGGTCGGTTTTGCTTCCTTTTGAAAAACATTATCACTTAGAGTAAGGATTACTGCAGGATGGTCTAAATCTATATCAAAGTTTTCTTTTACTTGTGTATAGTTTGATGAAATTTTTCTCAAAATAAAGAAATCCAAAAGGTCTGGTATGTACAACCAAGTTCTAAAGCAGCTCGGTGCAATTCTTTTCCTTGGACTGTGGTTAATCTTGAACCCCAGTTAGTGTTTTTGGAGTTGTAATCTCCACTGATTCTAAATTTGTTACCTAGCGGTACATAACGATAATTTTCTTTTTTTTGGTTGTATCTTGGTGGGCAATAGATTGAAGCTATTGTAATTTTGCCCCCCTTAATGTTATTGGTGCTAATAATTACCTAATTTTCTGGTTCTTGGATGTCTGGTTCCTCATAGTGAGAAATGTTATTTTTAATAATTAACGCACTTCTTCCTCTTGCTACATTTGATGGATGGATAGTGTGATAGAAGTTGTATCTTCTGAATTAATTGTATGACTCCGTTGTAAGGTGGATCTCAAAAATCAGATATATATCTATTTTTTGCACATCTAAGAAAACGTGGATATTAATTTCTTTTTGGAGAATACTATCGGCATTTCAAGTGGCTATTCTAATATCTCTTTTATTTATTGGTGGTTTTGTTATATATTTGGGGTTTATTTAATTCTTCTATCTTTTGGAGCCTGGCAATGAGTGAATCTCTTCCGGTTATTAAGGATAATAATAATTTATGAGTGGCACTTTCTGCTAGGCTGGCTGACTGTGCAGTATTCTGTGCAATTTGTGGCGTGGGATTCATGACTGGTTGTGACCTTTGAATTGGTTGCTCCTGTTAGTTTGTTAGCTGAGAATATGTTATTTCATTTCTGACAGTAGGAAAAGCGTTTATGGGTCTTTTGCCTTGTCATTATTTTAGGTATAGCGGTGTTATACTTCCTTATCTAAAAGGTTTTAGCTACTTTACATCTTCTGTAGTTAGCAGGAAGTTCCATTAGGCAGTTTATACACTTCGATTGTTGTTCTGAACTTTTTACATAATTCTTCATATGATGGTTTCCTACGCACTTTACGCATCTTAATTCTCTTTTACAAAAGTTGTGTGTTTGTCCAAATAGATGGCAGTGTATTTTAGGTAAATCTGATGATGGTTTAAGGCCGAAAATTCTTTAAAATAAAAAAAAAAAAAATACATACTTTAATTCTCAATACAATTTTTAATTCGCTTGAGAACCATTCGTTGGGCATTTAAAGGGCTGGTCGTTCTACGACAGATTTCGTGCTAATTTATACATCATCAGACAGTGCTAGACAGCTTATACGTAGTCTGTATCCCGATCTGAAAGTGAAGATATTCACTCAATGTAAATAGTACCGCTATTATTATAATATTTAATAAATTAGTTGAAAATAACTTCCATATGAAAAATAAATAAATTTGATGGAAACAGAAAACATGAGAATTTATTTTCTAGCATATTTTTTATGCGATTCATTTATTTTATAAGAAATAAATAAAATTTTATTTAGTTATAAAATTTTTATAGTTCCGATAAAATATAGTTTTTACAATTCTCAATAAATTAGTCACTTGGAGGTTTTGAACATTTTTTGACTTATAGTTGTTTATCTTAAATACATTTTAGTCATAAAATATATTAATCAGACTTATTTTTATAAAATTGAAGGCTATTCCAGAAATTAATTGTCGTACCTGGTAATGTCAATAATAAAATGTACAAACCATTCTTGTTTTGGATCTGTCATTAAATAAAAGCGTAATAATAATGGTAATCTTATCAAAGGCGGCTTACAAATTTAAATTCTGTAACGATAAATCAAAAAAAAGTGTTAAGACCTTTGTATTTAGATGTTGGGAAAATTTTTGACTATACTCAGTAAAATTCATTAGGGTAAATGGGGCAGTCATTGGCCATGCGATAGTTATTGGACATGATAATATAAAATTAAAGTTAATAAGAATCTCAGCTGTTTATTTAATAAATCGAATTTAAAGAGAAAATTTGGCAACTGCTTGATGTACATCCAAAGTTTTGTGTTACTATAATGGCTATAGAGTGCTTAAAGCATATTGTCATTTTGTGTTGTCACCGATTTTTTGAAGGTTCCTCGTACCGAAAAAAATATACAGAAAATGATATTGTTAAGGCTCTAAAGTCTATCGAAAATGGAATGAGTCAAAGAGAAGCCTTAAAGCTAAGCTTTTATGATATACCACAATAATATACAAGCCATAACAATCAAAGAAGTTTGATAGAGAAAACAATGATCCCAATATGAAATATTATTTAAATGGAACTGATAATAATAATGGATATGCAAGCAAGG